CCGACCAAATCCTGATGTCTTCCCCCTCCCCCACCCCTCATTACTTTACTCCTATTATGCTTACATTTTGACAACAAAGAGGCGGCAGAGAAGAATCAATCGGTGTACAAGGAGAAATAAAACCAGAGCAGATAGATATGGAGAGAGAGGGCATGGGGAGTTCGGGAGGGGATAAATGATATGTTTTGAGAGGGGAGAGTACCAATAAATTTCCAAGATAAATCTAACAAAACTATTATCAGTTTGTTCGTTTCAACATTCTCGCTACTATAATCAACCAAGCTGTCAATAAAAACTACAGAAAGATTGAATTATAATAATTCTATAATCATTGCACAATGGTTATAGTAAATGTCCTTGGGTTCCATAAAAAGTAAATTAGATAGAGCTTAGCCAAAGCATTTTGATACAAAAATGGACCAATAGATTAGTTTGGTAATTTTCTTTCTATCAACAACAAAAACAACAAGCCTTTATCCCACTAAGTGGTGTCGGCTATATGAATCTTGTTTCTCTATTGCGTCCAATTGAGTGTCAAACTTTTATTTAATTCTAATATATTACGATCATTTTTTTATACAATAAGCCCAAGTCTTTCTAGGTCTACATAAGTCTTTATTAACATAAGTCGAATCTAAAACAACTATTCTCCTAACTGGATCATCATATGATATACATTTAATGCGACCAAACCATCTAAGACGTCTCTCTCTAATTTTGTCTGCCACTGGAGCTACATAAACCCCCATCACGGATATATTCATTTAGAATTTTGTCTCTAATTGTAAAACCACTCATCCACCTAAGCATTCTCATCTCGGCAATACTTAACTTTGCTTTATGCTTCTCTTTAAAGGCCAACATTCTATGCAATAGAGCATTGCAACTTATAGAATTTTTGTTTCAATCTAAGTGGTACTTTTCTATCTAAAGTGTTCCTCCACTTCAACCAATCAACTTGAATTCTACTAATAAAATCCCCATCTATATCACAATTACTTTGAACAATAGACCTAGAATATCTAAAGCGTTCAAATCTTCTAATGATTTGATCAAACATAGTTGCAACTTTGTCATTAGAGCTACTAAGACTAAAATTACATTTCATGTATTTATTTTTAGTTCCACTCAAACGAAGGCCTTTAGACTCCAATGTAGACCTCCATAATTCAAGTTTTTCCTAAACTCTTTGCTAGTCTTATCCACAAGAAGGATTGTCATCAGCAAAAAACATACACCAAGGTACATCCTCCTGTAAATATGTCCAGTAAGAGCATCCATAACTAAAGCAAAAAGACATGGGCGTAAAGCCGATCACTGATGTAATCCAACAGAAATAGGAAAATACTTTGTCAATCATCGTTCTATTCGAACACAAGTAACAACTCTAGTATACATATCTTTAATGATTTGAATATAAGTCACATCAACACATTTCTTCTCTAGAACCCCCCAAAGGATTTCACTTGGAACCATATCGTAAACTTTTTCTAAATCAATAATAATCATGTGTAGATCCCCTTCATTCTCTCTGTACTTCTCCATCAAACCTCTCAATAAATGTATAACTTCCATATTAGACTTGCCCGACATAAAACCAAATTGATTATGAGAAATCTTTGTAACACGTCTTAACCTATGTTCAATTACCCTCCTATAATTTTAAAGTATGACGCATCAGTTTAATTCCTCTACAATTTGCACTCTTGCACTCTTGTGCATCCCCTTCATTCTTAAAAATGGCGACCAAAATACTCTTCCTCCATTACTCAAACATTTTTTTAGTTTTTAAAATAATATTAAAGAGTTAAGTAAGCCAGAAACTCTCAAATTTCTTAAAAAATTTAGACACTTCAATTGGGATATCATCAGAACCTACTGATTTTCCACCCTTAGTTTTCTTTAAAGCATCCCCAACTTCTTTATTTACTAATGCGACAGTAAAAATAAAATATTGTTTTATTATTAAACATATTAAGATCACCACGATCAATCATATTTTCAAAAACTTCATTGAAAAGTTTATCAAAATAGCTCACCTACCTATGTTGAGTATCTTTTTCTAAGAAAATCACTTTTGATTAATACACCTTACTTAGTTAAATCTTTAGTTATTTTCTCTTTGGTTGACTAGTTTATACATATATTTTCACTCTCTTTTGTATCTAATATATTATAAAATTCACTAAAAATAAAATTTTTTGCGTCACAAATTATTCTCTTAGACTCCCTACGGGCCACTTTTATTTTTCTCAATTCTCTAGGGTTTTACATTTAAACCAATCATTACAACACAACTTATATTTTATCTTTTCTTGCACATTATTATTCCACCATTAGTTATTTTTATTTATAAAAAATTTTCCTTTTAATTCTTAAGTACATTTTTTGTCACTTGTTTAATAGTATTTGGTACTTTATTCCACATAGAATTTGATTCTTTATAAACATTCTAAATCTTGAAATCTTGAAATTTATTCATAAAAATAATTTTATTTGAGTCTTTTAGGCGCCCTTATCTAATTTTATGCAATATTTCTAATATTTTTTATCTTTCAACTCTTCATTTTAAAATTTAGAACTAATAATCGATGTTGAGTACTTAAATTCTCATTTAGAATGGCCTTACAATGTTTACATTCTCGACATTCTTTTCTTCTCATAAGAAAATAAAAAAATTGTATTTTATTAGATCTATTCTTATAAATAATAATATGTTCATCCATTTTCTAAGATAAAGTATTAGCAATAACAAAATTATAAATTAAAAAAAAATAAAAAATGTTTCTACCTTCTTCATTAATCACTCCAAGACCGTAGCCACCATGAATATTTTAAAAATCTTCTACCGGCCCACCAACATGTCCATTTAAATCTCCTCTAATAAAAATTCTTTCTTCAAGATGTATCATTTGTATTAATTCTTCCAGATCATTCCAAATTTTTCTTTAAAAGCTATATCTAACCTACTTGAAGAGCATAAGCACTTATAATATTAAATATCTTAATATCAACAACAATCTTAAATGTTATAATTATATCTTCAATTTTATTAATTTTTACAACATTGTCTTTCGAACTCTTATCTATAATTACACCTACACCATTTCTAGTGAGACTCCTAACTGAATACCAAAATTTCAAATCTAAACTATCAATGTCCATAGTTTTTTCTCAAACATATTTAGTTTCTTGAATGCATAAGATATTCATCTTTCTATGAATCATAATATCAACTAATTCTATTAATTTACCAGTGAGAGTATCTATATTTTAAAATTTTACCCTTACCCACATCCATTCATAATGTGAGAATTCTTGTTTATTTGACAATACACCAACGTGCAAGTGTCGCGATCATTGCACACTTTTCACTGTATTAAGGTCATACAACGTGACGCTTCCAGAAGACAAACTAGCATTTACACAAAGATCTAAAGAGTTTGTGTCATGATTTTTTGATAAATTTTATGCGGGTTATCAACTACCTAACGCAACCCTTCACTTTTCACATCCGGGGCTTGAGACCCGGCAATGACTCACAATTATTGAGGCATTAATATCTTGTTGTCTCAAGTAGGGATATAAGTGAGTTACGTCATTTTGCGAGCCAACTTGTGCTAGGCTTGCTAACGAGCTAATGAGTTGAACTTATCAAGTCACGAGCTCGAGTCCGAGTTGAAACTCAAAATGAGATCAAGTTCAAGCTTGTTTAGGCTCGATTTGTCAACTCATGAGCCGTTAGAATAGCAGATTGATAGTCACGTCAATGCCTTCTCAACTGCCATGACACCACTTCCTTTCTAGCCACTGATGCCTTTTCCAGTGAGCTCTAATGATAATTTAACTTTCGGCTCGAGCATGTGAACTGACCCATAAGCCTAGTGTCATCATTATAACTCGAGTTTGAGCGTGCCATTTGAGCTCGAGTCGATATCGAGCTTGCATTTTGACAGACAAGCCAAGCTTTAGTTAAGCATGACTCTAAGCTCGGAATCGACTCGTTTACACCCCTACTCTTAAGCATACAGATGATTTAAAGTACAAACTACCTGCTATTTGAAAAAATTCACTTTAAAAGTTGAAATCCTCGAAAAACTCAACTGCATAGTACTTAGAATTCTATAAAAAACAAAATGAATAGATTGGATGATGACTAAAGCATCACTAAACCACCATAAGCCAACCAAAAATGTTTGTTATTTTTCTTATTATGGAAAATCATTTAGAAAAGAAATATTATCAATACAAATTGTTCATACTCGCAAAGCCAAACGTGCCAAATCATCACAATGACTTCCATAAAGTGATGTGTCACTTAACCATCATAAGCCAACCAAAAAGATTGAAATCTCCAGTACATTCCTTTTAAGCTTCAGCTACATTTTAAATTAATGTGTACGTTAAGCGATACTGATATTTTTTATTATATATTTAACTCCATCATCTTCTATAATCTATGCCAGTATTCAGAAGTGAACCGGGATTTTATCATGATAAAATCTTACTCACTCAAAAAATTTATTGATTCCCATGGTTAAATCACGATCTATTTAGTCTAACTCTCATTTAAAAATATACTCCAATGTTCAGTCAAGTAAATTGGGAGGATTACTTTAGTACTTCGTTGCAATCATTTGATAATTATTTTTGTTGACTATGATAATCTCATCCTTTATGTTTGTTGTTGTCAAGAGTTAAAAATATTTCAAGTTAAAAAAATGGAAATTTGCATATTTAAATCAAAGCATCTCGACAAATAATTAAATTCAGTTTTAAATCCACACGTTTGTTTGAATGTACACAAATGAAGAAAAAATCTGAAAGATGACTGCCATAAATTATTTTTATTAATTGACCATCATGAAATTTCTCAAGCATACAAAGTAATAGTTCCAATTCATAATCAATCCAATCTACCATTGCAGAGAACGCAAAAATTATATGCTAAAAAACATACATTACAATCTATTTAATAACCAAACTTTATAGAAATTTACCTCTCGGCCAACATTGCTGAACCTTCTTCGAATAATTCTTCTACCACACCAACAGCAGACAATTTCTTCGCCAGATTGCTGGGAGAATCTCGCGACTTTTTTCTGAAACCTAAACACTTTAGTTTGTTCAATTCTTTCGGTGGTGATGGAGGCCCTTCTATGAAATCATTTGGTGGAATCAAATCAACAACAATACATGTTGTGTCATCTTTCAGCCCCCTTGACCTCAGTGCTTCCTAAAAGATCACCAATAAAAATTGATGAAAATATAAATACGACAATTAGAGCAGCATTCCAACAAATCAGTCAGGAAAAATTCCGGGCCTTTGACGGAGTTCGGTCATAGAACAATAGTAAAATTTACAGGCATACCAATCAATTCCTATGTATTTAAATATTTAACACCGAAACTTCAATTTAAACGTACATACCACTTCTCCTATGCATACATTTCACCTTTTAGAAGTAAAAAAGTTCAATTTTTATGCGATATGAAATATTTGGCTGATATAAATGTAAAAAATTTAGATGTTAGATATGAAAATACATAGGCATTTGGTGGAACATATGTAAATACCCCAGTAAGGGAATAAAATCAACCTTTACGACTTGTCGAGCAGCAAGCTCTGCAGTCAGCCCGCGACAACATTTTGCAGCTATCTCAGATGGTAATGCATCCCAAATGCCATCTGAAGCAATTATTAACCTTCCCCCTGTTTTCGCTAACTGATGCACAAAAGAAACTTATATCAGTCAAAAGGCATATAGTTAAGATACTCATAATTAATAAAAGGAAGACTTACATACATACCACTGAATTCACATACCACTGAATTCCTATCCCACTGAATTCCTATCTATTTACATATCTAACATCTAAACTTCAATCTTTACATATATGCCACCTCACCTTTACATGAAAAGGTGTATCTCGCTTTTTAAAATTCAAAATAGTAATTTTTTTATGTGATATGAAAGATTTGGGTGTGTGACATAAATGTAAAAAGTAGAGTTTAGGTGTTAGATAATGTAGATACGTTCATGCAAAAGAATTGTGTGCTATGTATGTTAATGTCCTTAAAAAAATTTCTTCTCCCACACATTTACATTCACAAAGCCACAAAAATCCAACCACGGATTCATTTATGTTAAGTTGGCATCACTCAGAGCAAAAATACAATCTGCGGGCGATTTATTTATCAAAAAATTAGGAATTTATATGGAGAATAACCTTTGGTAAGCAGCTCAAAATCTATAACAAATGAATTAAAAAAGACAAATTTCAAAAGAAAAGGACATACCTTTACTTGCTTAACATGTGGTATGGGAACTATAAACTCTCCCACATCCATATCTCCAATGGACCTGGAAAGACACAACCCACCAGGCCAGCATCGGAGGGGGCCAATCTGTAAACAGAAATCATCATAAAAACAAAAATCAAATCACAGATGAAGTAATTTCCCATCCATAAATTCAGATTTCAGCATCTAGTAAACTCCCAATATAAGAACTCACCTCAGCGCCGCCCACAATACTAAGCCTTCCTCCCTCTCCTCCACAAGCAGTCACTCTCTCCCTCCTGCGGAAGCAAGTTAA